AAAATAGGCATCAATGGCCGTTGGTTGAAAAGCGTTTCGCATCGCCTTCAAAAAACTGTTCAACACGCGTCAAGTTGGATTTGGTCGAGATCAAAACAAGCAAATAAAATGCGCGCAACATCACGACCTAATATGCGCAAGTGAGATATTTGCGTGGTCGTCTATAACGACTTTTACGAGCGCGTCAATAACAGCAAATGCGTTCAAGAAACTTTCATTGCAGATAGATTTTACTTAAAGGAACAATTAGTTAGCTTATCTTCATACCCTGCCTGGTGGCAAACGCTGCTGGTGGCGCCAGGGGTGGCGGTCCCGCCATAGCCACCGAAACCGTGAGATCACCCCTGGTCGGCGGCTGATGAAGACAGGGTATCGCACGTGCTAACACACGTTGTATGTTAAAAAAAAAAAATAACAAACTCAACTCGCTCTAAGCTTCCTCAATTCGAGCCGCTATCCATTACTCCACCGTGCCCGCGAAGTGAACGAAGCAAAATTAAACGGGCATTGAACTTGGCCTGCTGAATACATTTTCTGCACCGACAACCTAACGATGCCCAAACGCTAAATTGTTATAAGAAGTACACTGAGTTATTGCGTCCGCCATTCGTTCTATACAGGCCCAGGATTATGGCTGACTCTCAAATCACGCATGTCATCTCGCATAATTGTTCCACTGATTGCACTCAATGTAAAATATCTCAACGTTACATTTTTATGTCCATTTGAGAAGAGACTTGAGGCAACGGGGATAAATCTCTAGGGAAGGAGGGTAAGAATGCCATTGGGCAGAGCGATAAGCGAGGAGGAAGTTTTAGGGAAAATTGTGACAAAAAGATAACTTATATTTAGAATCAGAAGGAGATAGTTTAAAATTCTGGTACACCTAATGAGAAAAGACGGTGGAGAGTCGTAATCGCCCAGGTACCGAAAAGACTACAAGACGTACAAAGAGATATGACCAGTAATGTTGAACGGTTATCTCTGATCGTTAAATATTCGTGAAATAACAGGGCAGACTGGGATCTATTGCCTTGAGGTGGCAAGCAGCTTAGGAGAACTAAAATTTAATTGAAAACCAGCCTGAAAAGAGGTTGTCTCAGTTTGAATGCCTTTCCGAAGACATGTCTCTGCTTATTTGGCTGCAGTGTATGTGGTAGCCTTACAACCATAACGAGTTACGGGACGCTTGGAGACCAAGAACAAATTTGAACATTGCTTCAACTCAGCTATTCAACTGTATTTACATTCAGCACTATTTTGTAAAAATATCTATAAGAACACCGGATTATATATCTTGCTCTTTTCTTTATATATATATATATATATATATATATATATATATATATATATATATATATATATATATATATATATAGTCAAACCTAGAGAGCCAGACAAACCTAACCGGATCGTCGTGTGTAGTTACCTATATATATATATATATATACGTTTCATTAAATTATATAGACAAGTGTTGTCTATTTATTTTATGTAGATTTTTCTGTAATTGACATCTTTGATAATGGCTTCAGTAAGCCTAAAGCTTAGATTGTATTTAAAAAATATGGTATCACTATTGTGAATTTCTTTCTTCGTTCAACGATAATGTTATTAAACTTATCAGATGTTACGAAAAAAATCTACATAAAATAAATAGACAACACTTGTCTATATTATTTATTGAAACGTGTATGAATGAAAAGATGCTGCCTAAATACACAATATATATATATATATATATATATATATATATATAGCTATTGGGATTTAAATTCGGGCCTCAAATGGAATTAGTACATACGATCAATCGCTACAGATGCAGAAAATGGTGGATTTTCTGTACCGCTGCAGCAAGTATCTAACATCCCCTGCTATCCTCTACCTTATCAACAGCCAGATCAGGCCAAAAATGGAGTACTGTTGTTATATATGGTCAGGGAATGACCATTATTCACTTTCCAGTCTCTATAGAGTCCAAAAGTGTATCCGCGTCCTTGTGGGTGATGAATTATTTTCCACCCTACAGTCCTTTGCCCCGCAGACGAAAGCAAGTTTCTCAGTAGCATCTCGACTCATAGGCGCGTCATATTCTATACCAGCTGAAGTAACGCTGATCCTGAGCACAGGACACTATTCGATTAAACTTAACAAGAGCCAGAGAAAAATTAACAAGAAAATCGCCACTTCACTCCATTGTTATTTCACAAATAGTTATAAATTTTCATCAAACTACTATAATAAGTATTAAAAAAAAATGTATCACCCACGAGGCCGGGCAAACATCTTTAAAATCGATACTGGAAAGTGAGGATTTCACAATTCCAATTCAGATGGGGAAGCAATGCCCCATTTTTGGTTTGATGTGGTTCTTGTAAAGACTGAGCATGGCTGAAGATGTCAGGTGCTTTATGAAGCGGTACAAGAAACCGATGATTTTTCCAACATCTTTAGCGACGGATCGTATGTACGGGGTCTGGAGTGAGCATGTGTTCCATGAGACGTCCAAAACAAGGAGGCACATTAAGAGTACAAGTGTTCATAAGTACAAGAGAAATCACAAAGTTCTGTGTTTTAATACTACTACTGTACTGATGCGGCATTCACCCTGGGCGGATTGAGCCGGCTTCTTCCTGTTATGAGAAGAAGATTCTTGGGATAAATTACAGAAGTAGGGTACCCAGGCCGACTCGGATAACGTTCTTGCTTGCCGCGGGGTTCCCACAGACGCAGAGACAGGAACGACCAGAAGCCGCCGGTTGCCGATGCAGACGCTCCTTGGATTTTCACCAGAGCCCTTGTTAGCCGGCGTGTGTGTCAGACCTGTCCGCCTTGGGTGGCCCTACCAGGAACGAAATTCCGGGCGGCATAGCTCTGACACTACCGTTTACACCCCCCCACCGACTGTGAGGTAAGGGTTGGACTTTGGGGGCTTACAGTACCAGGTGTTCCCAAGCGGTCCCCCATCTAAGTACTGACCTGGCTCTACGATGCTTAACTTCGGGGATCGAACGAGAACCGGTGTTTTCAGCGTGATTTGACCGTAAGCCACTGTGTTTTAATGATATCATGCTACTAGATTTGTTTTGAATTATAAAACGTAGAAAGTTGTGTCATAAGTATCGTCTTCTACAGTGTGGCACCACTAATAGTAGAGAAGGAAATTAAAATATGAGGAAGCTATCAGTGAGTGAATTTTGGCACAAGAAGAATTGGATCTATCAGAATTGAAAAAAGTCATATTTTCATCCGATCCCGGAAGAGAAGATGCCGAGTGCAACTGGATTTAAAATAACCCAGAAAATTCCGGAAGAAAATGAAAAAAAAAAAAAATGAAAATAACTTTTGGAGAAATGTAAAAATTAAAACAAAATAAATTCGTTATTTTGAAGAGTAATAAATGTACTTAATCTTGATACAAGTTTCATCCTTCTATCTCTTCCTAAAATTCCTTTTACAAGACTGGAGGCCTTAAAGAACGACCTTCGTAATAAAGTAAAATTAGTAACTTCTTCCATTTTAATAACAATTGCTTTATAAAATCACATTGAAAACTTGATTTATAGGACTGGAGATTTTATTTAGCAATCAGCACTCGTAATTATAAAGAGAAATACATTTATTTCTTGACAAGAATTTCATTGTTTTATCTGGTCTAAAACTTCTTTTACAGGATTGTAGACCATATTTATCACGTGCTCAAATTTTAAAAAGACATAAATTCACTTCATTTTGATACAAGTTTCTTTATTCTATCTTGTTTTATATGACTTTACACCTTATTTAACAATCAATCCGCTTACACCCTTGTGCAAATTAATTGAAATAAAACGATTAATTCTGCTACTATTTAGTTATTTTTCGCATTTTCACAATGAAATATAACCCACTTCAGATGTTAGTAATTCGTATGTCCATTACACAAAGTCTTTCCTTGCAGACTGCCCGTAGATTCTCGATTGGATTTAAATCGGCAGTACTTTGATTAGCTTCCTGTTAAAGCTTTCCAGTGTGTTAATGCAGCATTACAATTTTCGTACGCTACCTTAGAGGAATGCCCATTGCAGACAATGGCCGTAGGACAACTAATCGACAGCCAAGACAATAGTGTAATGAAAATCTGATGCAATCACGGATGACGCAATATGTTTCAAGGCCAAACAAATTTCATCATGCAAATATAGATTCATATTCCTGCACACCACTGCAAATGAACTAATCTTAGGAAGAAAATAGAAATCGATTACATCCTATCACTCCAGTGGGTCTAAAACTGATTGTATCGTGAAAGAAAGGAAACCAAAGCGGTTGTTTCAATTAATTTGCACAAGGGTGTATTTTTGAAGAGAAATAAATTTGCCATTTTTATTTATTCTGTCGGGTCTAAACTTTGTGCAATAGGAAGAGACATTTTATTTGTCCATTAAACATCTTATATTTGAAAATAAGATGTTTAATTTTGTTCAGGAATATGAATTTATTTTCGGTGTGTATGATGTCTTCTACATTACTTTTCTATTGTTCTCGCTCTTATTCTTTCACACTCAATAACCCCTTGTGTATTGGTAGTTTTACTGCGTTTCTTGGGGTGAAATGATTTTAAAAAAATATTTTACAGATGTTAACTATTGTTCTTCAGTTTAATATGTTTCTTTATATTCTGTAACTATTTTGCAAGTTAAGGAAAGTTCGACTTGATTCAAGAAAAAAAAATCATTTTTTATTAAGTTTCAACTCGGACGCAATGTCGTTGAAATTGTCCAGGACATTAAACGAATCATAAAACGAAGTAACCCATCCTCAGGACACAATAGATTTCGTTTTTAAAGACGTTCTCTTTTATGGCAATTTGATTGACAAAAATAAAGTAGAAATGATAAGATATATTTTGGTATTGCCAGTTAACATTTGAAGAACTGAGTTAGTGGGGGGGGGGGAATCTCACGTAAATTGGTCAAGAATTATGGCTCTGCATCTAAAGAATTCAGGATGGTTTGTAGCTAATTAGTGGAGAATGAGCAGGTTGAAGAAGAAGAAGAAGAAAAAGAAGAAGAAGAAGAAGAAGAAGAAGAAGAACTACAAGATAAAAAGAAAATGGATAAGAAGAAAGTGGGAAGAACTAGTGGAAAGAAAAGGAAGACGAGCAGCAAGAAGAATAGAAAGCGAAGACAGAGTAGCAACTGATGTGATGAGTGAAGAAGAAGAAGGAGGAGGAGGAGGAGGAGGAAGAGGAGAAAACGAAGAAGAGAAGGGAGAAAAAATGACGATTAAATGAAATGAAAGAGGGGGTGAGAAGATATATCGCTGCTGTTGTTGTGGATGATGATGATGATGATGATGAAAAAGAAAACAGAAGGAACTGAACAATTATTGATAGCGAAAATATAGAGGAGAGGACAAGAAGAGCGCCAAGAAGTAGAAAAGAAGAAGAAAAAGAAGAAGAGAAAGAAGAAGAAGAAGAAGAAGAAGAAAAAGAAGAGAAAGAAGTTGAAGAAAAAGAAGAAGAGAAAGAAGAAAAAGAAGAAGAGAAAGAAGAAAAAGAAGAAGAGAAAGAAGAAGAAAAAGAAGAAGAGAAAGAAGAAGAAAAGAAGAAGAAGAAAAAAAGAAGAGAAAGAAGAAGAAGAAGAAGAAGAAAGAAGAAGAAAAGAAGACGAGAAAGAAGAAGAAAAGAAGAAGAAGAAGAAGAAGAAGAAAAAGAAAAATAACACCACAAAAGATTGACGAAAAGAAGATGACGAAGAGGAGGAACAAATAATGATCTTTAAAACTGATGACAGCAGCAGCAGTAGTAGTAGTAATAGCATTACTGGTAGTAGAGTGGGAGAGTGAAAAGGAGGGAGTAGGAATGATGGTTAAAAGAGATAAAAGGAGAGACAAAAAAGAAGCAGTATTGAATCGAAGACTCTAAGAGAATAAGAGAAAGAAGAAAAAAAAAAGAATGTTACCAAAAAGCAAAGAAACTAAAAACACAAAAACCGAGACTTGAAATGAAGAATATAGAAAAAAAAATAAGACGAAAATAAGAAAAGTTTGTAAAAAAAAAAAAAATAGCAAAGATCAATAACATTATTAAATAATTTAATAGCTGACAAAGAAGCGCTAAAAGGAACGGAGAAAGAAACGAATCCGAAGAATGAGAGAACGAAGAGGCAAGATGAATAACATTATTTCCTTTCATGTTTTACGGCTACGATGGAGTGCCTACATTCGTGAAAATTTCTGTCAGTTTGGATCCGGTGGAATGAAATTTCTAGCAGTTTACACTTCGGATAGAAATGTCAGAAAAGGTCAAACTTCTGTAGGCCACAATATAATGTCTTTTCGCACAGCAAACTCTATTCTTATGGCCAAGATTTATAGCATCAGAATATAATTCCCTTTATTTCGTCCTATGCTTATTGATATATAACCATTAATCAAACATCGAACTTTTCTATCGAGCTATCGATTAAGCTATAAGACAGCCTTTTTTTTTTATTTTTATTTAACTTTTCTTGTTTACGTACAAGAGAGCGTATTTTTAGGCATGGTGAATGTAGATATTGTTCGAATGATTGTCATCGAGCGCTTTCAACCAGACTTATGGCCAAGTTTAAGATCCGCTTTTATGTAGGGTCGATGAGTTTTACGTTTAAAAATCCCCGTTGAGTGTTATGCGCCATTTTAATGCCAGGGGAAGCTCCCTAACAAACGAAAACTTTTAGCACTCTAAAGTTACTGCTTTACACACACACACACACACACGCGTGCGCGCGCGCGCATGCAAAAACAAACACAGACAGACACACACATATTTATATATAGTTCAGAAACAATTTGACTAAGAATTATAAGATAGATATTAACAATTGTAATTGTGTAGATAAAATTAACATTGCTTCTAGAAATACTGCTGATAAAATTAAAGCCAACAATAGCGTTAGTAAACCATATACTAAAGAATTTTATGTCTTAGTTAAATGCCATAAGCTAGATTTTCAGATCAATCTTCCGATAAGGACCATATTCCCTACCAGACCGGACGGATTAGCAAAGGTACCCTGGATCGAGTCAACAAACAGATTAAACCACGCCGTGGACTTATACATTGGATTGGTACCACAGAAGTCATTAATTGTGTTGACCATGTTTGCCGTAGTCTTTGAATATAAAATCCAGTGCAGTACATAATGTGTTCAATGGGACAACGCCAATATCACTAGTAGCAGCTGTTCAGTAATTCTTCGATATCAGTGTTTGGCAGTGAAGATATTTTTGGAGAAAAAACTAAATGGTTGCCTTTATACACGTCGGATTGAATATTTTGAGCTTTGTGATTGGTTAACCATTCTCTTGGTGGATTATAAAATGAGACAGCACATAAAGGTATCCAAAAAAACTGTAACAAATTGGATTAGACGTATTAGTAACAAAAGCAGCTGCACTATTATCCAGTTTGGTATTGTGGATTTTTATAATTCCATCTCCAAGGATCTCTTTACTCTGGCTTTGGAATTTGCCAAGGAATAGCCTAACATCTCCAGTGAAGAGATAAATATAATAATGAGCTGTAGGAGATCTCTTCTCATCCACAATAAAGAACAATGGGTTAAGAACTCTGAAAATTACTTTAATATTTCAATGGGACCATTAGATTCTGCTGAGTCTTCTGATGTGGTATGTTTATTTATTTTATTACCCTTACTGCCTATGAAGATAATGTTGATGGTATAGAGTTATATAGAGATGATGGTCTTATAGTAATAAAAATATTCCACTAAAAGTAAAGTAGATAAATTAAGAAAAATGATTCATAGAGAAATAAAAATTTTATATTTTAAGGTTATGATAAACACCATTGTTAAATAAGTAAATTATCTTGATGTTACGTTAGATCTCATTATATGACTACATGAAAAATAATGCCAACCAAATTTATAACCACCCTCCATCTGTAGTCTGACATAATATAGCGGTGTGTATAACAATTTCTCAAGAATAGTGGTTACAAGTGCGCTGAAATCCAATTAGAAAATATGATGATAGTGGTCCAGTGAAAGGAAATATAAATAGGAAGATCATTTGGTGCCTGCCCCCATTTAATCAGTTAGTTAGAACTAAGTTAGCCCATAAGTTCCTCCAATTTATTGATAAACAGTTTCCTAAAAGTAACCCTTTTAGTAAAATATTTAACAGAAACCCATTAAAATTTAGTTATAGCTGCACCAATAATCTTGCCAGGATCATAAAGTTACACATTAATTACATTTTAAACCAATTTAATAATCTAAATCTTAATACACGTTCCAAGGAAAATATCGTTAATGATACTGGCCAGTGTAATTGTAGAAATTCTGACCAGTGCCCATTACCAAACAAATGTTTAGCTAAATCTCTTAATCCGATGTTGAAAATTTCTATATTGGTAGTACTAAAAATTCTTTCAAGACTATGTGATATCAACATGTATTGTCCTTTACTAATAATATTTATAGAAATAATACATCACTTTCCAAATATTTTTGGAATTTGAAAGATAATAATAAAACTCCTAAGGTGAAATGAAAAATTTTAAAAATGACAAGGACATTTGGAAATTATCAGGTTCTTTCTTAAGAATGCTTTATTAAACCAAAGATCCAAGTTAACTGTAAATTGTAAACACAGTCTACCTTATAATCCTGTTTGACTTGAAATGTGACAATGCTTCTTCTTAGACTTTAGCTGAACTGTGTTGCACCATGTATGGCGTATCTTTCTATTTGTATGGTTAATTTAGATTTAACATATTTTTGTATTAATCCCTTGGTAGTATAGTAACATCTTTTACGGATATATTGGTATTTAGTGGGTATTTTTGATATTTTGTATTGATTGGCTATTGGTATTAACTTTTTATATAAAGAATCTTTAGTCAACAGTTGCCTATTTATTTACCTAATAATTCTATACGTTTAAATTATTTGCTGTCTTTTTTAAGAATCCATTTATTTATCAAATATAAAAAATATTATGTAACAAACCCACAAAGCATATAACTTGTTTTAATAATAAATATATATTTGGACATTATTTCAATACTTCATGGGCTTCCGATTCTTAGCTATGAGTAATTAATGATGAACATGTCATTTTTCTTTATGATCAATTTCATCACGATTCTTCTGTTAAGCTTAGAGAGTAATTATATATTCTTATTGCTCAAAGAGAGTCCAATATTGTTATAAAAACCTTGGAGAATTCCAGTAAGATAAGATATCATTAATCATTTCCAAGTTACAACAGTTCAAACCGTAATCTAGGAATTGGTCAGTCTTGCTGTTACGCGATTTGGCGAATTTTACTGTTGTTATAAAATATATATATATATATATATATATATATATATATATATATATATATATATATATATATATAATTATTTATTTAAAAATATTTATTTATTTAAATATATATATATATATATATATATATATATATATATATATATAATTATTTATTTAAAATATGATTCCAATGCTGGAATCATATTTTAAATAAATAATTATATTTTTAAATAAATAATTATATTTAGGCTCTACTTTTGTATCGAGCACTATTTTTTAAAATAATAATAAAAATACTAAAGAACTTTGGATTATTTACCTAACGAGTTCTTTCCTATTTTCTATATTTTTTTACACACACACACACACACATATATATATATATATATATATATATATATATATATGTGTGTGTGTGTGTGTGTGTGTGTGTGTGTGTGTGTGCAGATATATAAGAAAATAGGAAAGAACTCGTTAGGTAAATAATCCGGAGTTCTTAGCAATCTTGTTTTTTATTTTTAAAAACAGTGCTCCATAGAGAAGTAGAGCTTAAATTATAATTATTTTTTTAAAAATATGATACCTTCGCTACATAAGAGTTCTCATGTTTCGAAAACGAGAGCGCAAAACCTCAATATAATTATTAAAATTAAATTGAGTTAAAGTATCAAGCCCTGTTTCATCCTCAAGCGAAA